TCTGTGCGTCCCCTCCCCCGCCTCACGCCCGTGGCCCCCCCCTCCTGTCTTCTCTCCCCTACAACTCCCCTGCCTGTGAACTCCCCTTGCCCGGCCCCCCAACCTCTCTTCCCCTGCCCCGGCACAGCAACTTCGCACCTCACCTCCTGGCTCATTGCAAGCCTGTGGGGACCCCATCTCCTGTTCTCCTCCACTCCCGCCTCCTTCCTGGATCCCCATCTCCTGTCTGGCTCTACACAATTGCCCTCCCCCTACTCTCAGGGCCTTGAACCCTCAGGGTTCCTCCCCCCATACCTGCTCAGGAACCCAGCTCCCTTGTGCTGTGTCCTCACAACCTCACCCCTGCCTGGGACCCAGGTGATTCTCCCTCCCCCTTTGTCTGCGGAAGGGGAACTCTGGTGTTCCCAGTGCTCGTGTCCCCAAGTCCCTCCCTGTCTGGGGCTGGAGAGCTTTATTAAAATTGGAATTGTGATGCCATTTAAATAGGCGTTGTTTTAAATAATATACCTTTAATATTACATTAAAAAATTGTTATGGTCTAAATTTATCATAACCTATTTAAATAATTTATGAATTAAATTTAAATTTAAATAGAACATGTCTTCTGTCAACTTTTCAAGAAATTCTACCAGTTCACTAGTGTAAGTTGCTGTCTAGAACCCAGAAACAGTATTTACATCAGCAGTAGCTTCCTCTGCTGGTGAAGAGAGAATGTTTTTATCACTTTGGTTTATTCAGCTAGTTCAATTCAATGATTTGTTCATTCACCGTTGCAAAACCGAGAGCTGACGAAGCAGGCAAACTTGTTTTCTTCTTCTTCTCAGTAAAAAACTGGTTATGAACTCCATCTCTCTCCATTATATTTGCCTGCCTTAAGGGCACTCTCTCTCAAAGAGAAGATGGTGAGGGAGGAGAAGGGTTGCCATCTGCTGCTCCTGCCCCCACAAGGTTAATTCCCCCTGGCCTCACAGGGACATTCTCCTGTCCCCCCTCCTTGGGGTGTGAGTCTTCCCCAGAGGTGGACATCTTGTCCTGATCTGAGGCTGTTTTCACCTTTGGGTATTGCTTAGGGAGGGTTGGCTGCTCTTGGGCTACTCTGCCCGATCTCAAAAGCATGCACTGGGCAGTTTCCCTTCCCTATTCTAGTCTAGCTATCCAGTCGGACTGAAAGGTAGAAAAAGAAAAACAAGACACTTGGCTATGTCTACACTCGCGGCAATACCCCCGAGCCTCATTTGCATCCCTAATGAGCCACCATTTTTTTCAGAAGAGGCTCTTGTGCAAGAAGGAGCATCTACACTGCCCCTTATGCAAGAAAAACCCTCTTGCACAATGCTGTTACACCTATTACTTTTCAGAAAGAACGGCATTGCGCAAGAGGGTTTTTCTTGCGCAAGAAGGGGCAGTGTAGAGGTTCCTTCTTGCGCAAGAGCCTCTTCAGCAAAAATGGTGGTTCATTAGGTATGCAAATGAGGCTCGGTGATATTCCATGCTTAGCCTCATTTGCATATTACTCGTGCAAGAAGACGTGAGTGTAGACATAGCCTTGGTTTGGACTCCCCAGAGCCACTTTGTCACACTTTAGATTTCACATCTACCTGAATCACCAAACTAATTTAGTAGGATTTCAGTTATTACGAGTAAATATCAAACTGCAGAAATAGTAATTTGTCACCTATTTTCACGACATAAAAATATCTCCTCCCCCCTATATCAGAAGACAGTGTTGCAAAATGTACTCAGCCCCCACCCAGCCTTCCCCCCCTGCTGCCATGTCACTCGGCTGACTTCTATGCCGCTCAGCTGGGCCACCGCGTGGGAGCAAGCGGCGCAAACAGCCTCTCTCTCTCTCCTCCTTCTATTGCCTCGCCCTCTCTCTCTCTCAGCTCTCATCCACCTCCTGCCTCTCTCTCCGTTTCTCTCTCTCTTTTCCCTCTCCTGCCTCTCACTCTGTGTTTCTCTCCTCCTTCTCCTGCTGCGTCTTGCTCACTCTCTCTCTCTTGCTGTCCTCCACCTCCTCTGTTCTCCTCTCTGTGTTCTCCGTGTCCTCTGTCTGCTTCGCTTTCCTCCTTTTGAATCCGGTGCCCTTTCCCGATGTCAGAGATGCACGCTTGTCCAGGCCTCGCCCCCAGCTGTTCCCTCTGGGTGGCGCTGTTGCCTCCTGCCGTGATGCATCGGGAGTGCAAACCCCAAACGGCTGCTTGTCCGCAGCCCCAAGTGCCATGGTGGGAGGCAACAGTGCCACCCAGAGGGAACAGCCAGCGTTTCAGCGTTAGAGTCACAGACATTGGGCTAGCCAGTTAGCCCGTCATAAAATGTGATTTTCAGGTCTCTCCTCCACATCCTATTCCCTTTCTATCTCGGTCTTCTCTCCTGAGCCTCCGGTCTCTCTCTCCGTCTCCCCCTCTCTCTGACTCAGCTCTGGGGTCGTTGTCATGCCACAGGTCACCGCCCCGCCCCCCTTCGCCTCCTGCGGTGGCACTCAGCTGACTTCTGTGCCGCCACATGGGAACAAGTGGCGCAAGCAGCCATTTGGGCCCCACGCTCCCCATGCAGCACGGGGATGCTGCATGGGGAGTGCGGACCACAAACGGCCACTTGCGCCACTTGCTCCCCCGCCACTTGCTCCACACAGCGGCCCGACTGAGTGGTGCAGATGTCAGCTGAGCACCACGTTGGGAGTCAACAGCGCCCCCCGAGGGAACAGCCAGCATTTCAGCATTACAGAGTTACAGACATTGGGCTACTATATATATATATATATGATAGTGCTATCTAAGTAATTTAATATTTTCCAGGAAGTATATAGGTGCAGAGATATTCAGTTGTCAGAGGGAGAGCTTTCCTTTAGGGATAAGATAGCAAGAAACAGTGAGGATTAAAATAAAACATTTGCATTTTTTTCCCAGCACAGTGATACTTGGCTCTACTACACCCTCAAAAGTAGAAGGGAATGGCAAGGCTAACAGCTGCCCTGAGCACAGTTCCCTAAATATTATTAAAGCCACGATTTCCAGATAAGTTCAGAGACATAGGAACCTCTGCGACATATGATTCACAAGTCTCTAACATAGAGAACGATACAAATTTATCAGTGTGAACACAAGTTTTGATAAGTAGTGTGAAGTAGAGGGTAAAGCATGAATAATCCATTTTGGACACATGGTATAGGTGTTCCTTACACAAGAGATTGGTCTTCTGGTGGAAACAACATTTGGAACTATAAAGCAGAGTTTAATTGACGGTTGGCAGTGAAACAGGATTCCGAATTAAAGCCCTAACTTGAATTAGCTTTTATTCCTCCTGCAATGAGGTTTACCATTGACTCCTCGATTAATCAATAAGGGAGGCACTCGCTATCCCACTGCACCTCTTCCTTTGAAATGTACAAGAGCCTCCAGTTGCTCTTGTACCTTTCAAATAGAGAGGTGCAGCAGTAGGGACACCTCTACCTCCTCTGGCCTCCACATAGACAGTGTTGGGGGGAACCGGCTTTTAAGCTCCTGCTTCCCTTCCCCCCTTACTGCCTCTCTCCAATATAGACAGCAAAGAAGGGAAAAGGAAGCAACTAGTCGAGTGACTACTCAACTACCTGATAAGCATATACTTAACAGATAATCGACTAGTCACTTACATCTCTCCCCTAGGTAACCCATTTCAATGCTTCACCACACTCCTAGGCTATGTCTACACTACGGGGCTTTATTGGAAAAAAGTATGTAAATTGCTCTCCGCAATTTGCATACCTTTTTCCGATGGGTTTTTTTGGAAGAGGCTTTTCTGAAATTTGGCCCATCTAATAGGCCAAATTTTGGGAAAAAAACCTGTTTTGGAAGAGCTCTTCTTCCTCATGGGAGGAGGAAGACAGGGCTTCCAAAAGAGAGCATCTGCTCTTCCACAAAAAAAGCAGAACAACAGATGCGTTCCCTGGACATGGTGGAGTTTTTCTGGGAGACCTCTGGTATCACAGAAAACCCCTGTAGTCTAGACATAGCCCTAGTGAAATAGTTTTTCTTAATATCCAACCTATTCGGGCCCTTCCCACTGCAACTTGAGACTCTTCCTTCTGCCATCTGTCACCACTGAGAACAGCCTCTCCCAATCTTCTTTGGAACCTCCCTTCAGGTAGTTAAATGATGCTATCAAATCCCCCTTCTTCTCTTCTGCAGACTAAAATCACCCATGTGTTTTAATTGCTAAACTTCTTACATGTATATAAAGTAACTTTGTACATGGTATGATTTTAGTAAAACAAAAAAAGCAGTCATGTAGCACTTTAAAGACTAACCAGATAGTTTATTAGGTGATGAGCTTTTGTGGGGCAGAGCCACTTCTTCAGCTCATCACCTAAAACTATTTT